CTAAAGCTAAAACTGAAATAAAAATAAATGTTAAAAAAACAAAAACAAATAAGCATGACAAAAGATAACAACATTACTAAAATTGCGAACTAAACTAGAGGAAAATAAATAAACTTATTTTATTTCAGTTAGTCTCCAAAGCAACATTTCTAATTTTTGTTTACATTGTAGTGCTAAAATTACTGAAACTAAAACTGAGATAAAAATAAACTATATATATATATATTAGGGCTGTGCAAAAATTAATTGCGATTAATCGCATCCAAAATAAAAGTCTGTGTTTACATAATATATTTGTGTGTGCTGTATATAATTATTTTGTATATATAAAAACCTATGCATGCATGTACTGTATATATTTAAGAATTATTTGCGCTTAAATTCTGTATATATATATAAATACACAACCTATATTATATAAATCTAAATATTTTATATATGAATAACACATTTTCTTAAATATATACATGCATGTGTGTGTATTTATATATACAAAATAATTATATACAGCACACACAAATATATTATGTACACACAGACTTTTATTTTGGATGCGATTAATCGCAATTAATTTTTGCACAGCCCTAATTAATATATATATATATATATATATATATAGCTATAATTTATTTTTATTTCAGTTTTATTTTTTATTTCATATATATATATGACAATCACTTAACCAAATTAGTAAAACAATCTAAAAAGGAAAATTGAAAAATAAAAAAATGTAAACTAAGTCAAAATATTAAAATAAAATAACACATAATTAAACAAGTTGTGAGTCTTTATAAGAGATGAGTCATAGGATTGGGAATCAGACTAGACTGCATACAGACAGTAAAGACAACAAAATATAAGGAAGTGTTGTGTATTTATTGCCTGTTGTTATTATTATTATTATTATCTCATCACATTAAAGAATCACAGTAAACGGAAACACTGTCGTGGGCGTGTCTGAGATCATTTGTGGGCGTCTGAGATTATATGTGTGTGTGTGTGTGTGTGTGTGTTTGGCCTGCGCAGCTGGTCTCTGCTGTAGCTGACGTCATCATGTGGCCGGTGTTTTCTATAATGGCTCATTGTGAGTGTGTCTTCTTTCCCGCAGCCTCTCACGATCAGCACGCCAGTCTTCGCCACCGCGGAGAACATGGCCGACCTCATCGACGGCTACTGCCGACTCCTCAGCGGCGTCAGCCAGTCCTTCATCGTCAGACCTCAGAAAGGTACGTCTCCCTCACACTGCTGCATTGTGGGATGTCTGGGGTATTAAGTGGAAAATCGCACAGCTCTCCATTTAAAATATATATATAACAGCTTATGAAAAGCTTTGAATTTGGGGTTTTCATAAGCTGTAAGCCATAATCATCACATTTATAACAAATAAAGGCTTGAAATATCTCACTTTGCATGTAATGAGTCTATATAATATATATTAGTTTGACATTTTAAGTTGAATTACTGAAATAAATGAACTTTTGCACGATATTCACTTTTTTTAGTTTTGCCTGTAAAATAAGAAGTGCAGCTCTTCATATTTGTGTGTGTGTTGATCCATAAGCGCATGTGGTGTGTTTTCTGTCCTACAGAGGGTGAGAGAGCTCTACCATCCATTCCAAAGTAAGTCATGAGTTCACTTCTGCCGTCCCTGAGCTGTTTAATAAACTGTCTAGCAGGACATTCATTTAGTTTGACCACCGGTTCAAGATTTAACACTACTAAACCAGGACAAACCTGACGATTGGGAAATTAGCTGGGCGATATATCAAATTTGGCAAGAATGTCATTATGGTTTTAATGCATTGTTTTTGTTGCCAATGAAGTTTACTCAAGAACATTATTAGGATATATTTCATACATTATACATTATTATATACAGTATATCAGGATGTTAAATTAGCCTAATAATGCTGTAGTTAACTGTTATTTTTTTATATTTAAATTTATATATATATATATGTTAGGGCTGTCCAAAAATTAATTGTGATTAATCGCATCCAAAATAAAAGTCTTGTGTTTACATAATATATTTGTGTGTGCTGTATATAATTATTTTGTATATATAAATACCTATGCATGCATGTATTTAAGAATTATTTGCGCTTAAATTCTGTATATATATATATAAATACATAATCTATATTACATAAATATTTTCTTAAATATATACAAGCATGTGTGTGTATTTATATATACAAAATAATTATATACAGCACACACAAATATATTATGTAAACACAGACTTTTATTTTGGATGCGATTAATCGCATATTAATTTTTGCACAGCCCAAATATATATATATATTATATATATATATGTGTGTGTGTATATATATATATATATATATATATATATATATATATATATATTTTAACACACACACACACACTATATATAATATATTATATAATGTAAATAAATAAATAAATTCAATTTTTTACATTTTGATTATATTTTTCCCAGGCATGTATTATATATATAATATATTACATAATCAAAGTCTTTGAAAGTACATATGGTTACATATGTTTTAATTCTGCTTGTGTCATGTCTAGTACGTAAAATCTTTTGAGTATAATTTGCATTAAGCCTGTACCAATCAAACACTCACGTGAACCTCTAAAAGTCGTCGTTATGCTTGGATAACTGTTTTTTTTTTTATAGTGTGCATGGAAACAATAATAATCACCATTTTGTTCATTAATGAAATTGTTTCTCCACAGACTTGCCAACAATGAGAAGCGCCTGGAGGGGATTCGGGCAGGAGTTCGTGCCATCTCTGTTTCAGGTACGACACGCCTCTCATTCACCCGAGTTATCAGGTTTACTCCCGCTGAGCATTCTGGGTAAAGACCGGATCTGATCGGATCTGCCAGACAACAATATCTACAATATGTTCATATCAAAATATGATTTTTGTGATTTTTTTATAGTTTAATATCATCGCTTAACACTTCTCGATCCAGTCATATCCACAATGGATCCGTCCTACATTAGTATGTCCTGCTGGAGATTTGGTTTCACTCTGAAATATTACAGTTAAAAACATTGCAAATGCTCTTTCACGTCGTCTTTAAAGCGTTTCTCAGATGTCTTCAAGATGTTGGGCAGGTTTCATTTATAGATCATCATTGCTTGTATTCCAGATGTTTGGTATCTTTAGCTCATGAACGTGTCTGCTGTTTTAAAGCGTGAGTGTTACATCTATAATTGTTGGAGTGAAAGTGTGGTTTCAGGATGAGATGTTCAGGGTTGTTTGTTCTGTGTCCATTCCTCCCTTCGTATGCTTTGCTTCACTCTCTTTCTCTCTCCTTCTGTCATTCTTCACTGAAGACTCTGTGGTTCAGACGCCCACCAAAGCTGCTAAAGCTCGACGCTTTCTCCTTCCGTTTGTCCTCTGTTCCCATGATCCTCCTCCTAAGGGTACATGCTGTTCCTGTGTGTGTGTTTAACACTAACACCCTTAATTGCTCTCCACCCCAAACATATTCAATCTGTTTCTCATGTATTCATACCACAGCTCTGATTCATCATTTTCTTCAGTCGGGAAGCGTTTATCTATGTTAATGCTGTATTGATTAAAGTATGCAAAGCTCTCATGTCTCTTAAGAGGGTGTGGTTTCTACCTCGCTGACCAATCAAATCACATTCTGCTTCACATGTGATTGCCGGCCACGTCTCCTCCGTGACTTCGCCCCCAGCACACCTGTGTGTTGCAGATCTTCTGTTAACTGCACAAAATGTTGATTTATTTTATGGTTCATATCAGATGCTGAGGCGTCAGTCTGTTTTGTATGCATCTTTGACTTTGATTAGGCCACATTTTGCCCCAAAATCCAAAAAATAAACAATTTTTTTGCTTTAACAAAATGAAGCCTATTTTAGGATTTTGTTTGTTTTTGTTGCTTATATATGAAATTAATGTCATGTCAGTAAAATGCACATTACTGTAATTACTCTTAAACTTGATTCTCATTAATAAAGTAACAAAATCTTCTTGTCCAAATTTTTATTTAAATTAAATAAATACATTTTAAAATGAAATTTAATTAAATTTAAATACATTTAAAATAATTGCCATGAAATAGAATTTGAACAAGAAGATTTAGTTTCATTTATTTCATTGCAATTAATTTAAATAAATGTATTAAATAAATTCAATTTGGACTAGAAGATTTTGTTCATTTTATTTATTTAATCAATTTAATACATTTATTTAAATTGCCATGAAATAAAAATTAACATAATTTTTTTTCCATTTACTTTACAATTTAATAAGAAGTTTATATATATATATAAATATAAATGTAATATAATAAAGCAATATTTATATTATACATTCTTACATATAATAATAATAATTTAAAAAAAAACAGTAATGATAATGCAATATTTTACCGACAATTTTATTGCTAATTTGCTATTTATGTTAAAATGTAGAAAACCTCCAAAAAACCTCCAAATAATTATATATATATATATAATCTTTTTGTATATATTTGTTCTAATATATATATAATATATATATATCTCACAGTGATGAGAATATAATATTTATTTTGACGATATTCTAAAAGTATGGTTCATTTTCTTTATGCAGAAATATAATTTCTTGTTTTTTTCTTATTTTGGTTTAGTGATAGAGCTTTTGAAAGTCTCCCAATTTTGCCAATAATGTTAAAAAGTGTAAACCTGTCCCTAAGTAATATTATTTATTATATAAATGCAAATCTGTTTAAACTGCACTGAACTAGACCCGTGGCAGAAGTGTGTCCACGTCCCAATTGAATCTCATCCCACACATTCCTGACCCATTATAACCACACTAATGACTCCCAGAACAGCACGAGCGAGGACTTCTACACCAGTTCATGATGAGTGTGTGTGTGTGTGTTCATGCCTGCTGATGAATTAATCTCTCTCTGATCTTTGCATGCTCTCCTCGGACCTGCAGAAGATAGTGGAGATGGTAAAGTTTGACCCGTGACCTCTAACTAACTCTGTGTGCATTTGGAAACTTACTTGAATATAGACAATCTAGCATATGCTCAGTTTAGCTGGAGTGTGTAAATGCGAGTTGTTTTTATTGCATCTCCTTCACTTGAAGCGCATGCTTGCTCCCTGCATTCCTTATGAGACAGACTTTAAATGTGTCATTATTTAGAGAAGAGCGTGACCTCTCCCAAAAACTAAAACGCCAGACTAAATCTGTTTTGCATGAAGACGAAAGAGTCACTTCCTTCCCCTGGCTTTCTCAAGCACAACCACAGAGCTGCTCTCCGATTGGCCGGTGGGACAGCCAGAGCTGCTCTCTGATTGGCCGGTTGGACAGACAGACACTCAGAGCCACACAGATTGAGTTCAGAGAGTTTAACAGAGGAGTTTGTGTGTATGTGTCTTCATGGAGGAGTTTCTTGGCTTGTTTTCGGCCGGCTCTAGTTTCTGTAGTGGAAGGTTACGTGTGTTTCTGACTGAGTGGGCGTTGCTTTGGCCAGTGTGTGTGTGTGTGTGAGATACTGACCGCTTCTTCTGTCTCCCTGTAGAAACGGATGACTACGCAGAGATCATAGATGAGGAAGACACCTACACCATGCCCTCGAGTAAGTACCCTCACTCGTGCTGTCTGTGAAGTGTGTGTGTGTAACTGTCTCCTGGGATCCAGATGTGCCTGTCCAGATCTGTACGTTTTCAGAGCCTGACATTTTTTTCCCTGTCTGGCTTGTTTGGTTTGTTGATGTGGCGGCAATTGCAATTTAAAGTATCCAGCTCTGACATTCCAGACAATTCTCTCTGGAAACTCATGCAGGATTCATTCGAGAGTTTATGTCGAGATTTATTAAGGTAAAATTAGGTGTGTGTGTGTCACTGGGTTTGTCTAAATCAGACACAATTCGCTTCGGGGAAGCCCTCGAAAGTGTTTATTAATCCACTGTAAAAACGCAACGAGTTAAATCTGAATTAACGTTATATAAACACACTACACTCTTAAAAGTAAAGGTCCCATAAGGGGATTTTCTCAGCAGTGCCATAGAAGAACAATATTTGGATCCCCAACAACAGTTCCTAATATAACAATCTCCTATAAAAAAAATGTTTCCACTATAAAATCTGTGTTTGTGCAATGGAAAGTTTATATGGATAGATTAGATTATTATAAGAGCGAAGCAGTCAGAGATGTGAGGAGAGCGAGTGTGTGTGAGTCAGCGACTGAACACTAACATTCACGAGTGTGTGACTTTACATGCGGGCCTGTACAAACAATCACAGGATTCTGAACACACACCGACTTAATGCGTTACGAGTGTCTTTGAATGAAAACGTGCCATTATTTACACACACACACACACACTCTCTGAGAAAAAAAATGGTAAAACTGTTTTTATTCTCACAAATTGCTTGTAAATTCCACAAATAATTAGAAAGGATGCCAATTAACACATTAAAGTAGTAAGACTTGCATAAAACATACTCCAATAATCTCTTTTTTAAATAATTTTACAGGGCAAATTTTCATGAGGTGACTTAAAGGTGCTATATGCAGGATTTTTGCAGTAAAATATCCAAAAACCACTTGGCCAATGTTATATATTTTGTTTAGTTGATTATAGGGATGGGCAACGATTAATCGCATCCAAAATAAAAGTATGTGTTTACATAATATATGTGTGTGTAGTGTGTCTGATTAATTTGTATGTATAAATACCCACACATGCATGTATATATTTAAGAAAAATGTGTTATTAATATATCAAATAGTTATATATAATATTAATTATGTATAAATATATATATAAAGTATATACATGCAAATATTTCTTAAATATATACATTCATGTGTGTGTATTTATATATACAAATTAATTATACACACTACACACACATATATGTAAACACAAACTTTTATTATGTATGCAAACACAAACTTTTATTTTGGATGTGATTAATCGCGAATAATCGTTGCCCATCCCTAGTTGATTACTCGTACTGCGATTGTAACCATGACGACAGACGTGGACAACTGGGCTAGCAGACTTTGAGACAAAAAGAGGACTAAAATAAAGATCAACATTTCATTTCGTTTCATTCCTCTAATAAACTGACCTGTGTGAGTATTAATCCAGCACTTGTGTGTGGCGCTGGTATACGTCTAGCAATCGCGCCCTGCTTCACACCACAGTCATGTTAAAAACATCTCTGTATTCACTTATCCATAAAAGATCCATCAGCTTGACGACAAGATCCATAATTTTGCTTAATGCAGAATATATGTCATTAATATACGCCTTTGTTATTGTAAGAGTTTAGCAACCCCTGGTGGCGAAACAATCTTGCATATTGTACCTTTAACCCTCACGTTGTGTCCGGAGTGGATTTAGCTTTTCCCAAAAATGTTATTGTTATAACTCCTGTGCTAATCCAGAGAAAACAAGTTGGCAGATGTAGCATAATGAGATTTACAAACAAAGAAAATCACTTAATGCTGACGTTTGGCTTCAGAGGAATATAAACATATGCATGAGTTGAACTATTGTCGTATTGCGTTTGCTCTTTCACTGCAAAAAGAGCAAAACAAATAGTATTTTACGGAATCTAAGCATCTTTTCTGAGAAATGTATCAATTTTAAGTGTTCATTGTTAAAACAAGAAAAATATCTAAACGTCTTAGAATGAGATCGAGAATGAGACGTTTGATTTTATTTTATTGCTCATTTTCCAAGTCATTCTTCATGTTGTCTTGTAGTTTATTTTCTATAATATGCTGGATACAAACATACGGAAGCGTATTGCATTCACTTGAGGAAACAAAATCTAGCTAATTATCTCAGAATTACGAGATAATTGATCATGGAAAAAAAGTTTTTGCTCTGTTTTTCTGAATTTCTGAGTTTGAGATAATCAAGTCATTAATTCAGAATTAAACAGAGCAAAAAAAATTCCATAAATATCTTGTAATTCTGAGATAATTCACTCGTTAATTCAGAAGAACAGAGAAAAAAATCCATGAAAAATGATCTCGTAATTCTAAGATAATTAACTCGTTAATTCAGAAAAACTTTTTCCAAGAAAAATTATCTTGTAATTCTGAGATAATTAACTCGTTAATTCAGAAAACGGCAAAAACTTTTTTCCATGAAAATTTATCTTGTAATTCTAAGATAATTAACTTGTTAATTCCGAAAAACGGCAAAAACTTTTTTCCATGAAAAATGATCTTGTAATTCAGAGATAATTAACTCGTTAATTAAAAAAAACGGCAAAAACTTTTTCAAATGAAAAATTATCTTGTAATTCTGAGATAATTAACTTGTTAATTCAGAAAAACAGAGTAGATTTTTTTTCTACAAGTGAATGCAATCGCTTCCGTACAAACACGCATACGTCAGTGTCGATTTATAACAGCTCTTTCCTGAGTGTTTGACATGTCTATCATCTCATCTCATCCCTCTGTTTCTCTTTCATCCTGAGCTTTAATTCTGATCTAAACGCCCAATCTCTCACTCTTCTCTTTAACACCAGCCGAATGCTATGGATTAGACGCAGGTAACGCCATCCCTCTGTCTGTGTGTTTCTCTCAGTTTCTTTTCTGTTTTTCTCTGTCTCAGTTTTGCCGTGTGCTTGTGTTGTTTTGGTAGCAGGTTCCTTCTCGTATTATTGGCAAATGCAGGTTTTCATCAAATGTGTAGAGTTGTGTATTCTGACCCTTGACCTTGGCGGTGTTACGATCTATCAGTCAAAAGTATTTTAACACCCAAAACTTATTTTTTAAGGTTTTATGTTATTCTTAAGCATCTTTGTTTTATTATTATTAATCAAAATAATATGAATATTAATAATAACCAAATCCAAATCATAACCAAATATTAATACAAATAATAGTAACCCATTTATATATTTATGAGCTTAAATATTTCGTATAACAGAAAACCTGCAGAAGTCATTGATATGTAGACAATGAATAGATTTTTGTTTTGCTCATTTATACTTCTTAGTTTTTAGTTTGTTTGTTTTAATAAATGGTGCATTTTTTTTAAATTACAAAAATGTTTTACTATGATATTCAGAAAAGATGCATTAAATTGAACAAAAATCACAGTAAAGACATTTATAATGTTACAATTTTTTATTATTTTGCTATATAATGATTTTTACATAATATTTAAGAGTTTCTTGAATACTTATTTTGATATAGGTCATGTACATTAGTCAACGCCATATTTAATATGACAAAATATCTGGCATTTTTGTGCATTTCTCAATCATCTTAATCAGCATCATCTTATGTTAACTTTAATTTTCATAACCAATTTTTTGTCATCTAGATTTATTATTTATTATTATTAAGTTTTTTAATAGACACATTTTCAATGTGTAGTTGGAACGCATTAAATACATGTCTTTCTGTCGCTCACTGCCTCGTCTTGATTTGTGGATTATTAAATATGGCATCTACCCTGACTAAGGTCATGACCTCAGTGTTTGTAAACCTGCACTGGTGAATCGCTGAGCTGTGCGTTCAGTAAATATGGTTGCGCTCGTCCTCTGAACGCATGACGCCCAGGGTTTGTGATGCTCCTCTGATGATGAGCTTCAGGTTTGTGACGTCTGCCTCCTTGTGTCTTTCGTCCGCAGCTCAGGACTATGAGATCCAGCGGGACAGAATCGAGCTGGGACGGTGTATCGGCGAGGGACAGTTCGGTGACGTCCACCAAGGGGTTTACATCAGTCCGGTAAACTGCACATTCATCATCCACACGGTCCAAACAACAGTCCATACCGAACAAACACTGTCAGGACCCGGAAGACCAATTCTCCAGTGGCTCATTTATTTATGAGTGAAATAAAGCCTGTGGTAAACATAACTGGACCATACTTGATGTTTTCTTCTACAACACAAACTGCACACACATTTTGAAGCAGTTATGTTTATTTTTGAAAACATGTGTTTCTAATAAGTGACTAGATAAGACCGTTTGGGCAGTTTACATTATAGGACAAAACGTCAAAATATTGTCAAGTTATTGATTATTATTAATTTTTTGTTGTTTTTATGTTTTTTTTTGTTGTCAAGTTACGTTTACCACGGGCTTTATTTTACTCGCAAAAATGATCATTAAAAAACCTGATTATACAACCAGCAGCGGATTAATCTTCCAACTATTATTTAGCACTAACTAGTCTAATGCATTCATTAAACTTTAAAACCTAAAAAACCTTGTCATGAAAATGGTTGTAAAGAAATTATCAATCAAATATGGATCTTTAATTAATGCATTTTTTTTTTTGATAAATAAGTTTATTAGTAAGAACAAATAAGTTAAGAAAGTTAGAAGTCAACATTTGGTCCTAAACTATCTAGAGATCTTAAATTAGACTAAATCTAACACTGTTACCCATTCTTCTGTTTTGTCTTTGTTTTTGTTTTTTTTGTTTTCTTCTTTTAAAATAAATATATTTGGAATTTAAAATCAATTTAAAATGTAAAAAAATATTTAAATAAATACATATTTGAATTTATGACAATTTTAAACAATTGATGTATGTATAGTATATATTTTATTGATTTATATCAGAATTGTTTATTTTTATTAGGGCTGTGCAAAAATTAATTGCGATTAATCGCATCCAAAATAAAAGTCTGTGTTTACATAATATATTTGTGTGTGCTGTATATAATTATTTTGTATATATACCTATGCATTCATGTATATATTTAAGAATTATTTGCACTTAAATTCTATATAAATATATAAAAACATAATCTATATTAGGTTAAATATAATAAATAAATATAAATAAATATAAATATTTTATATATGAATAACACTAATTTTTGCACTAATTAATTTTTGCACAGCCCTAATTTTTATATTTTATGTTGGCTATTGTTAGAAACTAATAATGTCACACAAATATACAATGGTTTGTAATGTCCCAAAAGTGTTTTCTAACCTGTTCCTCCACCACCTGCTCTTTACTGTGTTCTGGAACTGTTAAAACAAACTAAAACGTCACTGTTTATAAAATAGCATCATGTGCTCTTCCGGACAGGAGAATCCATCATTATCGGTGGCCATAAAGACATGTAAGAACTGCACTTCTGACAGCGTGCGTGAGAAGTTTCTACAGGAAGCTCGTGAGTATTTTAAGTAATGCTGGCTTCACACTAGTGACCCACACCACTTTTAGCGTTTGTTCTCCACCATGGTTATTCCACCTGAACACATGACTCATAGTAGAGTTGAATATGAGGAAGTCACCACTGCCACACTTTTAGAGAAGTCAGAATTACATAAACCATTATGATTTTGCAAAAGTGTTTTGCATGAGAATGTTTGTGTGATGTAACGCTTGACAGTGACAATGCGGCAGTTCGACCATCCGCACATTGTGAAGTTGATCGGGATAATCACGGAAAATCCCGTCTGGATCATCATGGAGTTGTGTACGCTTGGAGAGGTGAGGCTTGCTGTCGTTTCAAAGTGCCCCTTTTTTAAAGGCTCCTAATTTTGTTTAGCAGTTTCCTTTAAACCGTATTCTGGACAAATGTGGGCAAAATAGTTTGATTTATTTTTAAAAAATACTTTCCTTGATCTGAGCTGTACAAAACTTGGCTACTTTTCCTAAGTTTTCCTCCTGAACACACACACATTTTTTTTTTACTCAATTCTACAATGTTAAGTGGGTGAAAAAAAACTCCTTAATCTTGTATTTGGGTCAAAAATGGGCACCCATAGAAATGAATAGGAAAAACTGTATTCTAAAATAAGCCAAAATAAGACACCAGGTGACGGCAAAGTCACTTCATCTTTAGGTTTAAGCTCTAAGAACTTATTGGAATGATATTTTAATGTAGTTAAAAAAAATAAAAAAATAAAACATAAAAATAAGCATAATTTACATAGAAAATATGGTACTTTTTGAAGTAAATAAATTCAAAAATACCCCCAAAATACAAAAAAACACCATAAATAGATAGACAAAACTTTATCGAAGACAGTGATATAACATTTATAATAAATAAAAATTAGGATCACACCTGAGTCCTCTGTGCCCACATTTGTCCACAATTACGGGGCTATAAAGTAAATACGGTTTGAGACTTAATAGGTGCATCCAAGGTCAAAAAAACACTCATTTTCTCATAACATACACTGCAGCATCGGCTCTGAAATTTTGATAAATTATTCAGTGTCTCTAAACCCCGCCTTTTCTGAGAGTCTGCTCTGATTGGTCAGAAGGCCTAATCTGTTGTGATTGGTCGACCGCTTGCAGTGTGTGTTGGAAAACCCAATTGCATATCTGATTCTCAGCTCTTTATACGCGATGGCATCGGTTTTACCGTATAAATCCTTTGGAAGTGGATTTGCTTTTGGATTTTGCAAACCAAACACTTCCAGTCTCAGATACAACTAAAAGTGTTTGAGGGTCAAAGACATTGTTCATGAGCAGCCAGCCAATGAAGACCATAGACTGACATCATGCAAATATTTTACATGTCATAACTGGCATTTAAGAATCGCTTCTTTCTTAATAAAACAATAAATCGATTTATTGTGTATTTTGACAATTCACAAACAGCTTTATTATATCTGAAAATGCATAATGGGGCACTTTAAACTCCTCTTTTGGTTGATAATCTTCTAGACTCACCATTGTGTTTGTTTTTAGTTGAGGTCGTTCTTGCAAGTAAGGAAGTACAACCTGGACCTGTCCACGCTGATCCTGTTCTCCTACCAGCTGAGCACAGCGCTGGCGTACCTGGAGAGCAAACGCTTCGTGCACCGGTGAGCATCAACACCACTGACGTTTGCGCAACTCTTTTCTGGAGATCAACGTGTGTTTTCCGCAGGGACATCGCTGCCAGGAACGTGCTGGTGTCGTCCACGGATTGCGTGAAACTCGGTGACTTTGGTCTCTCCCGATACATGGAGGACAGTTCCTATTACAAAGGTAATTCACACTCCCATTTAACAAGCGATTAACCTCAAAACAACTTCATGTACTTAATATGTATGTGTAGTAAAAAACACTACAAGTCCCAGAGGTTTTCATCATACCAGGTGCACAAGGACGCTACAAAAGCTACAGGTTAAGAAATGTAGCTTGATCTGCCGTCCACCTCAGGTCCTGACAAACCGCTGATTTTAACCCTTCAAAAATATATAATTAATGCAAGAAATAACATGCCGAGAACAAGGAAACAGCGGCCTCTGGTGGATAGTGAAGGAAACAGCAGCCTCTGGTGGATAGTGAAGAGAACAGCGGCCTCTGGTGGATAGTGAAGGAATATTTGATTTGTTTATAGTCTGTAAAAAACTTTTTTAGTCTGCCTAATTGTTAATGCCATGCAACATTTTGTAAGATGGACCCAACATGTGAATAATCTTTAATAAAGTTGTACATACAAATTAGTTTAGTCTTATTTTTTAATGTTACATTTTTTGATTATGTTTGTGTTGAAGTACAAATTTGAAGTACAAAATACAAATACAGTGTGTGTGTGTGTGTTTTCCAGCTTCTAAAGGGAAACTGCCGATCAAATGGATGGCTCCAGAATCCATAAACTTCCGGCGGTTCACGTCAGCCAGCGACGTCTGGATGTTTGGTAACTGCTCCTCCATTATACTGTGTCTCACAGTTGATCTTGAACACCATAAATATGCTTTGATTTTTTTTTTTTTTTTTTTTTTTTTGGTTTGATCTTTCTAGTATTAAAACAATATTTATTATTATTATTATTATTATTATTAATTATTCATTTGATAATTTTACTCTTAATAATATAACATAAAAAATTTTGGATTATTTTTGTGGAGAATTTATATAAATCCCACTCACTATATATATATATTAAAATATATATTTTTTAAATGTATATATATATACATAAATGTTTTAAAAAATATATATATAAATGTTTTTTTTAATTTATATAAAAGTTATTTTAATATTAAAATATTATATTGGACTTTAATCCTATGCACCTATGAAGAATTCAGGTGTGTGAGGATCTATATTTTCTATTAAAACATTAATTTTGTCTTTTTTTTTTTGCCTCTATTCAGATGTGACCAATATTATATATTTTTAAATGTATATAAATGTTTTTTTTATTATTATTATCTTAACATTAAAATATTATTTTGGATTTCAATTGAATTTAATTGAATTTAATATTTTCTATTAAAAATTTTTATTTGGTCAATTTTATTTTGCCTCTTTTCAGATATGACAATAATTACATTGGTCAAGCTATCCTCTCTGATTAAACCATAAAATCGTTTACTTTTCATGTATTCTATAATAATTGTTTGATTTTATTTTTACTTTGCCAAATCCAGTGTCTTTTGGAGTTTATTTGTGATGATGAGGCAGATTTCTGCTCGTGTCTCTCTCTCAGGTGTGTGTATGTGGGAAATCCTCATGTTCGGCATCAAGCCCTTCCAGGGTGTGAAGAATAACGACGTGATTGGGCGGATCGAGAACGGCGAGAGGTTAGCGATGCCGCAGAACTGCCCCCCGACCCTCTACAGCCTCATGACCAAGTGCTGGGCATACGACCCCAGCAAACGCCCGCGCTTCACCGAACTCAAGACTCAGCTCAGGTCAGTCTGTGTGTGTGTGTGTGTGCTCAGATCAGTGTGTGTGTGGACCGCTCTACTCATGCTTTTGTAAAGCAAATCTGGATAAAAGCATCTTCTAGATGATTTATGTCACATGTGATGTCATAGTAAAGCTGTTTGACAGTGTTTGCAATGCTTTTATGCTCTTCTTGGTTTCTGACACTAGAGGTCTCTGTTTAGCTTCCAGAGAGTCTTGGTCACTCCAGAATGATTAGAGATATAACATTTACTTTTTTAACATATTATAATATTTATAATAATATATTTAAGTTCTTATTTCCTTGTTGTGCTCTAATATGCAACAAATTAACCATTTATAATAATTCATTATTAATAATTCTTCATTAAATATTATATGTCATCTCTGTGAATTTTAGTGGTGCAATTTAGTTTGTACTAATTTTGTATAACACTAATGAAGAATAACAATGAAGCGTTTCAGAAAACACTATTTATCAGTTACACACCTAATGTGTATCATTTGCATTTTATTTTGTTGCACTTCTGTGTTTGGTGAAATGAAAGTTTGCTCTATAAATACAAATATATGAAAAATAAGTGATATTATATTTAAAATGTTGTATTTTTTTTTAGTTTGTCTAATCTAAGGCAAAGGTCAGTCTAATCACTTTTAAGAAAGCAGATGTCCTGATTGCTCTGAGTGTGTGTCCCTGCAGCACGATCCTGGATGAGGAGAAGGCCCAACAGGAGGAGCGCTTCCGCATGGAGATGAGGAGACAGGTCACCGTGTCCTGGGACACTGGCAATTCAGACGAGGCTCCTCCGAAGGTGAACCTCAGGGACACAAACATGTGTATCAGAGATCTGCAATAGTCTACAGTGTGTGTGTGTGTTTGAGTAACTGGTTTTGGTTTCCACAGCCCAGCCGACCTGGATACCCGAGTCCTCGATCCAGTGATGGATATTTCCCTAGTCCTCAACACGCTGGTCAGCTCAATCACTACCAGGTACTACTCTTCATTCGGTGCTCTCGGGTCATTTTTGACCCAAAAAAAATTTTTTTAAAAAAAATATATATATATTAGGGCTGTGCAAAAATTAATTGTGATTAATCGCATCCAAAATAAAAGTCTGTGTTTACATAATATATTTGTGTGTGCTGTATGTAATTATTTTGTATATATAAATACCTATGCATGCATGTATATATTTAAGAATTATTTGCGCTTAAATTCTGTATAAATATATATATATATAAATACATAACCTATATTATATAAATCTAAATATTTTATATATGAACAACACATTTTCTTAAATATATACATGCATGCATAGGTATTTATATATACAAAATAATTATATACAGCACACACAAATATATTATGTAAACACAGACTTTTATTTTGGATGCGATTAATCGCAATTCATTTTTGCACAGCCCTAATATATATATATATATATATATCGAATTGGTATGAAACTTGTTTATGAACATGATCCAAAAAGGTTAAATGGTCCTGAAAATTCATCTTTGAAAAAAGATCAAACTTAAGTCTGTGCTCTAAAGCATTTAAGATGTACGACAATTTAAGTTGGAAGTTTAATTTTCAGGTTTATGCTCAAAAAGTGAATAAATGGATTATAAATACAGTGTAAATATAATTTAGTACCATAAAATCCCCTTAAATAAAAAACATTATCGAATTAAAATATAGGACATTCATTTTATTGAAATAAAGAAATAAATTTCAGTCATTTTTGACCGACATGTTAAGAGCAGCTGAGGTTAATAAATAAATATCTATATAATTGTTGGGGTGCAGGATGTGAATAATTTTTTTTTTCTGCTGCTCACATAATGTCACTGCAATGGAGAGCCTGTTATTGATGTCATACCTCACTGATTACTGTCGCTAAACCCTCACGAAATATCCCAAAACTGGCCAACATAAACATTCAACAAATAGCCAAACACACTTCAGATAGCACTGCACTTCTCTCTGCCCAAACACCCTGATTTACTTGTGTTTATCTAGAAGAGTGTGTGATTGGCTGGCTTCAGCTCGATGCAGTTATTTCACAGCTCGTCCGCGAGCGCCTCTGACGCATGCTATTGTTGACTCCAGGTGCATTCCATCAGCTCACACACACACACACACACACGCACGCATCACTGCTCTGTTTTCATGCCTTAAAAGGCTTTTGTGCTCAATCCGCTGGTTTCTGTGTCAGGGTGATTATTGGCCTTTCTGAGAGTGTGTGAGATGGGGTTCTTGAAGACAACCTGACGCGGCTTTCATAACACACTTTACTTACATAATGTGACATTTATGAGAGTAAAATGATTTAACAAGGATATAAATACCATACTACAATATTAAATGTGAATATGGAAAATGTGAATCGCTATACATTTTTATTGTTATCTAAGACTAAATGTTTTTGAAAAATTGTTAATAGAAGCCTATCTGGAATGAAATAGATTTTTTTTTTTTAAAGTTGGAAATAAAAAAGTAAAACCTGATTTTTTTTTTTTTTAGAGAAATAGACATAACTAATAAAAAGGAGAAAAGCACATTACAAAATTTGTTAACAATTAATCTACAATTAAAAATACAAAAAATAAAGCTAAAATAAAAATAAATATTAGATAAAAAACTAACTGAAATACGTTTAATAAATTTTTTTAAAAAAAAAACTGAAAGAATTGAAAACAAATTAAAACTAAAGAGAAATATAAAAACTAATAAAAATGACAAAAGCACATTTTTAAATTAAGTCTGAAAATAAAATAAAAAAATAAAGGTCATTCAAAGCTGAAATGAAAAAAAATATATACATATAAATATTAAAAACTAACTGAAATTTTTAACTAAAGTTTAACTAAACTTCAAATTTTTAACTAAAGTTTTAGTTGTATGTACTAAAAACTGAAAATGTAAAAATATAAGTAAAATAAAAATAAATTAAAAATTATAAAAAGTGACGAGCGCATAGCAAAATTATTAATAATTAAAAAAATTGAAGCTAATTCAAATTATTAATAAAAACTAAAATAGTATATAAATAATACTTCAAATAACTCTGATAGCTACAGTATTCTTTTTTTGTATTTTTTATAAATAAACTTTTTTTTTTAATAAATAAATGTAAATGTGCTTTAAATCAAATGTCTTTCATCTGTCCAGGGGTCTGGATATCCCAGTGCACTCGTGCCCGGAGCAGGATTCCCCCCACAAGCCTCGGTCCTCGACCCACACGAGACCTGGAACCATCCCGTGTGGTCTCCGAACATGGAGGTGAGTGAGTGTGTGTGTGTGTGAGTGAGTGAGTGAGCGAGTGAGCAGATGAGGCCGTTGAATGAGTGTTCAGTGGAGTGCGGTCATAAACGCTGCTGTGTTCTGTGTGTGTGTCAGGATGGGGCGGCTCTGGGCCGGACTCAGGTGATGCCCGTCACACACCTGATGGAGGAGACACTGATGAAGCAGCAGCAGCAGATGGAGGAGGACCAGAGGTGGCTGGAGCACGAGGAGAGCTTCTTGGTACTGACACACTCATACACCACACTATTCAGGGCTGTCAAGCTCAAATTTGAGTTTCAAATATTAGTCCAATTAAAAAAAAATTTAATTAATGTAATCTTAAAAAGTCCTGGACATAACAAGTCTCATTGACTTCCATAGTAGGAAAAAATATATATTATTGAAGTCAATGAGACTGGTGACTGATATTCTTCTAAATATCAGAAATTCGGCTGAATGGATTCGAAAATGGTAAAACACAACTGTTTAACTCTGGGGGAGTTGTAAAATGAGCCATCACATTAAATAATAATAATAATAAAACATGAACCATTTAATTATAATAATTAAATATTTTTAAAAAGGTTCTAAATATTTATGGGAGTTTAAAAATAAAATATTCAGGTAATTAAAAAAAACAACTTTTTTTAAGCCTGGAAAAGTCCTACAAATTTTAGTTTAAATAATAGATTATGTATAGTAGTTGTAACTGTCATGCTATTTAATCGTTTTGCATAAACAATTCAATACAGTGCTTGATTTGGTTTATATTTCTCATTATGCCTTCTTGTTAGCACACTCCTCTAACTAAAATTATCTCAATATATTATTCAAATATTAGTATAATTTTAGTAAAACAAAATCCAACTTAATTTCTCAACCCTTTTTACAGCCCATATACTATTCATACTGTTCTAGAATTATCAAAGAATTTGAATGAATAGTTCCATAAAATCTTAACTATTTAAAAAGAATATATTTTAATTATTTTTAATAGTTAAATTCTACACTTTTCTTGCGTTTTCTTTTCTTTTCTAGTCCACTTATAATTTTAGAAAATGTACATCTTAAAGTATATAATAAATATACTAATACATAGTCATTAATAATAACAAACAATAAATGTAAATTCATATGAATATATAATAATAAAGGTTTGTTTATTTGTTATAATTTAGTCATAATTCAGTTTATGGACCATTTTCCACCTTTATACTACTGTACCTTTAAGACTGCTATATGTAAATGAGCTCTAATCTCTCACATGTGTTTTCATATGTGAATATTGTAATATTTCTGGGTCACGTTTGCCATTTAGTTTCATAAGTGGTCTTGATGGACCGGAGGTTTGGAGTTTGGAAAGGCAATAAGTCACATTAAACATTTCAAATTAGCAGGAAGAAATGCTGTTTCTCTTGAAATGATTCATAGCTTTTCTGATTCACTTCCAGCATTTTGTATGGCTTGTTGGTCACTTTGAGTGTGTTTGGCATCTATTGCATGTGCTGTGGTTGTTGTTACTCTGAGAAAAAGACGGAATAAAAACTCTCGTCCTGAAAACAAAGCTGTAAATCTGTGCGCACCTGCGAGTGAAACTGTCTTCTTCTCGCCAGAGGAAACTATTCCTTCACATCCACATCCCTGCCAAACGCCGATCTCAGATGCGACGTCTTCCTCACGCTGTTGGTCTCCAGATGATGTGTCAGTGGGGGTTTCGGTTCCCGAGAGAGGAGTTTAATGAACACTCACCAGATCTGACACTCGAGTGATTTCCTTCGCAGGCTGAAACTTTAGATGGGAGGAGTGTTGTTAGCAGACATGTGACTGTAATATCACTGCTCACGGTGAGCGGGAGCGAGACCAACCACAGCGACGACACTTCCCAGTACAGACTCCGGGACAAGAAGAGCTGGGACAGGACCACCACTGAGATCGACTGGCACAGGATCATGCCGACCTGCGGACACGAGATGAGACAGATACGAGACAGAGACGAGAGAGAGAGACATGAGAGACGAGACTGAGACGTAACAGAGACGTGAGAGACGAGACAGAGACGTACGAGACGGAGATGAGACGTGAGAGACGAGACAGAGATGAGACGAGACTGAGACGAGACAGAAACGTACGAGACGGAGACGAGACAGAGACGTGAGAGACAAGACCGAGACGTGAGAGACGAGACAGAGACGTGAGAGATGAGACAGAGAAGAGACAGAGACGTGAGAGACAGAGAAGAGACAGAGACGTGAGAGACAAGATAGACACGAGACGTGCGAGACAGAGATGAGACGTCAGAGACGAGACGTGCAAGAGATGAGACGTAAGAGAAAGAGACGAGACGTCAGAGATGAGACGTCAGAGACAGAGACGAGACAGAGATGAGACGTGACAGACAGAGATGAGACGTCAGAGACGAGACAGACAGAGACGAGACATGAGAGACGAGACGTCAGAGACAAGACGTACGAGACAGAGATGAGACGTGCGAGACATAGACGAGAGGTGCGAGACAGAGACGAGACGTGAGAGACAGAGACGAGACGTGAGAGACAGGCTGAAAAAACACGGCAGGCTGAAACTTTTGATGGGAGGAGTGTTGTTAGCAGACATGTGACTGTGATATCGCTCCTTGTCCAGTGGAAACTTGGGCGCCGCATCACACGCGTGTCATAAGCGATCGTCTCATTTGGCAGCAGGGGTTTGTGGGAATCGGTGGAAACCCGTGTGGTTCGTGCCTTCCTGAGAAACACTGGCATCTTCTCATTCTTCAAGGAAAAAAATGAAAAAGCTCTTCTCAAAAGGAAAGAATCCGAGTGTGTCTGGAATGAACACTAGTGCACTGCATACTGCACCCTAGTGCACCCTATACTTCAGGATGTTCTTGAAAATGGTCTGATCTTACTAAAATCTCATGAGCATTACAAATCACAACACTATAGAATTATTTTTACTGGTTATTCAATTTAAATATATATATATTTAAATTATCATGAGCTAATGCCTATTTGGGATAGTCCAAGTTTATTTATACAGAGCTTTTTACAATACTAATCGCTTCAAAATGGCTTTACAGAAACAGGAAAAAGCACAATTTAAATGAATATAAATGTCTTTACTCCTCCAGTTGTCAATTATAAACTGTACAGCTGAAAAATGCTTCATCGCAATTGACTATTTCCTCTTTTATTGGGAACTTTATATATGATTCATAGCACATGAATAAAGTCATTCAAAACAATGTAATTTATATTTAAAGCTGTTTCAAAGTAGTGGATATTTTCCTCCTCTTATATTTGTTTTGGAAAATAAATTAATCTGACAAAATACTAAAATACAGTGTACTCGCATTTTTAATCTAATTTTGCATAAAAAGTGCTATTTTTCCCCTAGCCGTCTGATTAAACAACCGCATAAACTGATATGGTTCGGTTCATTCACGGTTCATTCACTGCACAGGAAATGGAAAGGCAATTTGAGCGCAATGCATTATGGGATAAAGTGTTCCATGCAGTTGTGTTCCTGGTAGATTCAGAAGGTCATTGGTTTTTCCATGCACATTTGCATTCTGCATATTACTTTCTGCGTATAAAAATAGCAGGTAGTTGGTCATTGAGATCGGCCCTCAGAGGAGCTGTGTGTGTGTAGAAGCAGCGGGAGGAAGGGAAAGCGTGGGATGTGAAAGAGAGAGAGAGAGAGAGAGCAGGAATCTGGAGGAATCTCACATGGAAACACACACACAGCGCTCACGATCCGCTCAGAGGATGCATCTCTTCAAGTTCTGTTTCGGAAAGCCGGTAACTAGACTTGCGTAGTGAGGAGTTCTTCATGCTCTTCATCCTCTTCATGGAGTATAAACTCGCTGGATCGTTTGGGGAAATCTTTACTTTGTGCTTTAACAAGTTGTGAAGTTTGTTGCTTTTCTTGAGGCTTTGAGGTCTGTCAGAACGAAAGTGGAAAATCAGGAAAATTTTAAATTGTGATCTTCAAGCCTGGTAAAATCATGCATTTCTAAAGTTAAAACAAGAAATCAAGTTTTTAAATTAAGCAATTTAATTTAAATAAAAAATTGTTCTAAATATGTATAAAATAATACAGATTTTAATATTAAAATGTTTATTATGAGTTGTAGCAGTAGTATTATTTATGTATTTTATGTGTGAAATATCAGGGAGTTAAAAAAAAAGTGATTTCCAAGCCAGGAAAAGTCATGATAATTATTACAATCTTAAAATGTTTTCTAAATTTCTAAAGTGAAAAAAATAAAAAAAAGGACTAGATTTAATATTTAAATTTTAAATTAACCAATTAATATTTAAATGTAGTATATAAATAGTAAAAACAAAATGTTGGATATATTTATAAAATATTACAGATATGGTATATAAATATCAAAATGTTTATTATTATATATTTATGTGTTTAATGTTTTTCAAAACCTTGAATTATAAGAAAAGAAGAAATAAAGTAACCTATATAAATAATTTGTATTTATTTTTTTATTTAAATAAGAAAATATGTAAATAATTATCAATTAATGTTAAAAATAAAATTAAACAAATTTAAATGTTTGAACTATTCCTGTCATATCGATCAATCGCATAACATAAAATTTTATAAATATTTAAGTGTGTGTATATATATTTATATTATATATATATAATATGTTTACTAACTTTTGTTATATGCAATTAATCCATTTGACAACACTAGTTTAAATCTGATTTGATTTATTATTAATATTATTATTGTTGTATGATTTTAATCTAGACTGGAAAAGTCATGGAAATCCATCAGTCATGTGATGATGACATAATCAGATCTCATGAATATTTGATAATCCTCATGATCTGGAAATGTGTGTTTGATTGATGTGTTGTGTGTGTTCAGAAGCCGGAGTCGAGGAACTCGAGGGGCAGTATCGACCGGGAGGACGGCGCTCTCCAGACCCCGGTGAGTTCCCATAATCCCCTGCTTGTTTTTGTTTCTTCCCAGAGGGAGATTTACAGTGCCGTAGCGAGGACACACTTCCTGTCAGAGTCGCAGCCAGCAATGCCGATCACACTCGCCAAAACCTTCCACACAGCTGAAAAGTGCAGATCCTGAACTCATTCCTGAGCGGGAATCTGAAACCCTGAGAGGAGGGTAAATGACAGGGGCATCATGGGAGATTTCATCACTCATGATTACAGCAGATCTGAGCTGATGCAGGACGAGAGCGACGGGTTTGCTCACATTAGTTGAGTGAAACTCATTTTTGGATCTGAAATATGCCTGTCTTTCCCTCAAGCTACCCACAATCCCACAGGGCCCCGGTGGGCAGCAGGAACCCAGTCTGCAGGAAAACCACTGTGTGTTGTTAAACGCTTGTGTGTGATTGATTGTGTGTTTTCTTTCAGATGGGGAAGCAACACGTTTACCAGCCGGTTGGGAAAGCAGGTATGAACACACACACACACACACACACACACTGAAATTCCCCTTTAGATTTAATGCACATTTTCAATACAAATGATTAGAGTTGAGCCGGATACTCGGCTGAAACGAGTATCCGGTACGGATAAAGCACTTTTGTCGAGTACAAATATTATACGAGTAATACGAGTCAATATCTGTGCTCGAAAAAAAAAAGAAAAAAAAAGTAATGTTGAAATTAGGGCTGAGCGATATATCAATATAAAGAATATATATTTTAAATGTGATATGTAATTAGAGTTTGCGCTGCACGCCTTGCTCCAAGCAAGCTGCTTAGTGCTGACCCAGAGCTCTCTGCACTGCTCCCCGCGCCCCAGTCACTCCTTTTCCACTTTGCGTGCTTGATTAAAGCATGTTATGTTATAACATGAAATAAAGTCTTTCACCTCAGCAAAACGGACTTTGTCCTGTCAGCCGTTATACTGTAACGTTAGTCGTAGCGCACACTCAATTGCACGCGCAAATGCGGCGGCGCGCGCTGGATCGCCTCACTGTATGTGCAAAAGAAACAACGAGCATGCAACACTGTTGCGTTGTAAATAACACGAAATAAAAACAAAGCAGGTATGATTTTAATTCTATTCACCTGGAGCAGTTTCAATGTTTCATTAACAGTATTGTCTATTCACCAAGGTAACTGTCATGTCTTTATTAACCCCTTAATGCCCCTATTTTTCTTTGTGTTATTTTTTATATTTTTTAAATGAATGTAATGGCTCATACCAACGTTGTATTGACAAAATAAATAAACCAATTAATAAATCACAATTACAATTCCAAGGGAATAATCTGCAATTAAGATTTTTGTCATAATCATGCAGCCCTAAGGTGAAGAAACCTGTTAATTATTTATTCATTTGATTTTGCAAATGTTCATGTTTCAATAAAACTACTTGTGACATGTCATATTTGGCTTTGACTGAACATTTGCTCTCACTTTGCAGAAAAAATATCGGGATATATTTTGTATATTGAAATTCAGCCTAAATATATTGGGATATGACTATTGGTCCATATCACCCAGCCCTAGTTCAGATGAAAACTCTTGTTCGTTACATTTTACTTCATATTTGCAACCACATGTGTTGTATTCATTGTTGCAAAACTTGTTCTGTAGTTCGTTGTTATCGTGATCAAAACCATTGATCTGAAGCTCAATGCTGATGCTGTCATGTAAATAGTTTTCTTATCAGCAATAAATATAACAATTTCTGATCAACCCATATCAATTGCATGCTTAAAATAACATACCGGTTTTCCATTTCAAGACTACCCGACCCACTTCCGGGTTTAGGCCCCGCCCAGTCCGAGTACAGATACAGATACAGATAATTCATATGGTTATACAGATACAGATACAGATACAGATAATGCTGTACTCGCTCATCCCTACAAATGATACAATGACTTCAACTACACAACAATGACTTTTCTTACACAACACAGACTGTTCATTTCCGCTTCACTTTGACGATTGTGATTTACAGGTCTAAAAACCATGGAAGTTAATAAAATAAGAGTTAAAAGTAAAATAAAAGAATATATTCGCTATAGAACATATATAATTTATTAATCATGATTATTCACATCTAATAAAAATTCTGTTTACATAATATAATGTACGTATGCATTATAATACTGTATGTGGATGCATATATACCGTATAAATATATGTGTGTGTGTGTTTAGAAAAACAGATGCACACACATAATACATATATACACATATATTACATGTCAGATGCAGTTTATGGATTTAACAGCACTAATATATATAACACACACACACACAATTTTGGCTATATTTATTGGAATACATATATATAGTATTTAATTTTTTTCTATATATTTTTAAGAAGTTTATTATAAATTATTATTATTATTATTTATATGTGTATATATATATATATATATGTGTGTGTAATTAATTACTAAAAAAGGTGTGGAAACAGATTGATAAAGATAATTTTTTTTACACATAATGATAATATTTTTGTGATGAATATAATCAATCTTAATATTTATGCAAATTTGATACATTTAAAGACCAACTTTAATGGAGTTATCAAAATCACAGCACTTACATTTAGGTATTTGTGTACAGTGTGTGTTAATGTCTGTCCTGAAAGAATGCAATTGTCTGTTTGAATATGAAATATTAATAATGAGTCTATAGAGTTCATTATGTTTTTTCACTCATTAATATTTAATAGAGAGCGATGTGCGTTTATCATCAGCTTATTGTGTTGTGATGACTAATATGTCAGAAGATTAGTTCATGTGTGTGTGTGTCCTGCAGATCACGTGGCTCCCCCGAAGAAACCGCCCCGTCCCGGCGCGCCGAGTCACCTGACCAACCTGACCCCGGTGGACAGTTACAACGAGGGCGTCAAGGTACTCCAGCGGTCCTGCATGATCCTGCTCACGAGGGGAATCTGAGACGTGTGCCGCATGCGGATTGGCTGTTGTGTTCTGCATGTCAACAAACTAAACTTCACCAACGCCTGCGTTTCCCGCTCACACACACACACACACACACACTCAGAGTCACAGAGAGTTGATCTCCGTCAGCAGAACACGGGCCAGTGGACCTGAGACGGCTTCAGCCAAACCTCAGAACACACACACACACACACACACACACACACACACACTCACTCAGCAGACGTTCAGGATCACACACACACACTGCTGAGAACACACACGCTCACTCACTCAGCAGACGTTCAGGATCAAACACACACACACACACACTCTCGCTCAGCAGACGTTCAGGATCACACACACACACACACTGCTGAGGACACACTCGCTCGGCAGATGTTCAGGATCAAACACACACACACACACACTGCTAAGGACACAAACACTCGCTCAGCAGACATTCAGGATCACACACACACACACACTGCTGAGGACACAAACACTCATTTGCAAATCTCTCTCTCACACACACACACACACAATCACACACTCTCAGACACACACATACTCAGTCACACACACACACTGCTGAGGACACAAACACTCGCTCACTCAGCAGACGTTCAGGATCAAACACACACACACACACACACTGCTGAGGACACAAACACTCGCTCACTCAGCAGACGTTCAGGATCAAACACACACACACACACACACTGCTGAGGACACGCTCGCTCAAACAGTAGACGCTCAGGATCACACACACACTCTCTCTCTCTCTCTCTCACACACACACACACTCGCATACAGACACTCACACACACACACGGACTCTCAGACACATATACTCAGTCACACACACACACACACTCTCTCAGACACATATACTCATTCACACACACACACTAACACACTCACACACACCACACACACACACTGGACTGCGGTAGAGTGTGTTGTTCCCGTGGCCGTTATATAAGAGGTTTTCCTGTTGTCGTAACCTTACCGTGGATCCTCATGAGAAGAAGCCGTTGAGTGTTCAGCAGAGTTAGTCCTTCAGATGATCACACACACACACACACACACGCGTTTGCTGAACACTATAAATGTCATGTGATGCGGAATATTCTCCTGTTCTTCTCTGATCGTCCAGTTTATGAAACGTTTTAAAACAGTTTTTGGTTATGCGAACATTAAGGGAACACTCCGAACGCTCTCAGACGTCCACAGAGAAGCTGAAGTGAGCAGTCATGTGACTCTCGGTCGCCCCCTCCTCTGTTCTTGAAGCTGCATGACTTTATGAGTTTTGGTTTGTTTGCTTGTTTTGGACTAATAATGATGTGTTCTGTTTTCCTGCATCCGCCTTCCTCCCCACACACACCCGCTCACCTGCTTTATCCTGCACTGTTGCATGTAGCCCTGGAGGGTAAGACCTGTGTGTGTGTGTGTCTCTAATTGTCTGTCTGTCTGTTTGTTTGTGTGTGTGTGTGTCTGTCTGTCTCTGAGTGTGTGTGTGTTTATGTCAGTGTGTTTTATAGTTTGTATTTTTAAAGAGGTTGTGTGTATTAATGAGCTTTTCTCTGCTCAGTATTTTTCAGTGTTGAGCTTATTTTAATGCTCATGTAGAGTTTGATATTTTCAGGATTAAATCTAAAAATCCCAATCTGATCAGTTTAGATATTAAATAAAGTCCACATCTATTAATAATGAGCATTGTGGGAAATCTTGTGAAAGTCTGGGATTGACTGGTGTAGAAGTGTGTCATCTGTGGTTCAGTAGAGGACTGCCCCCTGCTGTTTAAACCCAGAACTGCACCACAGACGCTGATGTGTGTGTGTGTGTTCAGATCCAGCCTCAGGAGATCAGTCCTCCTCCCACAGCAAACCTGGACCGCTCGAACGATAAGGTGTACGAGAACGTGACGGGTCTGGTGAAGGCCGTGATCGAGATGTCCAGCCGGATCCAGCCGGCGCCCCCGGAGGAGTACGTGCCCATGGTGAAGGTCAGGAAACTGCTGGGATAATCTCACTGTCTGCAGTGTGTGTGTGTGTGTGTGTGTGTGTGTGACGAGCTCCTCTGGTGTTTTCCTCAGGATGTCGGACTGGCGCTCAGGACGTTACTCGCGACGGTGGACGAGACCATCCCGGTGTTACCGGCCAGCACACACAGAGAGGTCAGCAACACACTGTTGAGTGGACATGCTGGTCGAGCACACAGTGTTTTTATTAATATTAATCGTTTTAAAAAAAACAACAACATATTTTGACAGAATAGTGTTTTACTACACTAATAAGTAAAACAAGAATAAATAATTATTTTTTAATAATATTAATTATTTTAATATTTATATATTTATTCACTATGCATTATATATTAATTAATTATTAATTTTATTAATATTAATTAATTATAAAATTATGTTAGATGGTGTTAATCAATGTTAGATTATTTTGTTATCAATAAAATATTTATTGATTGAAGCCTTACATACTTTTCATAATGTTTTGCAGTATATATTTATTGTGAATTATCAATTATAATAATGATTCAAATTTTATTCTGATCATTTTATTTATATATCACTTACATTATATTACTTGTAATGAATGGGCTCTATGCACGGCGGTATTTCCGGTGAAGGTGTAAGGATGCTCGATAACTTCCGCCGATCATAGAGTCCAATGCAATACCGAGAATTTATATTGAATTTTATACTTCATGGTTTTACTAAAGAAACGTTAGTCACAAAAACAGATAAAACAGACACCCCTCGTTGTGATGCTTCTTTTCAAAATTATATTAAATAAACATAACTATATATAAAATTACATCTAAACGTAAGTAAGTTTCGTTTCAAAGACGGGAGGACAGTAAATTTTGAAGTCTCTGCCATAATTCCGTTTTCCTCGGTTTTCCTCCGCTTTAATCTCCACAACCGGAAATGGACGAGCATCCTTGCGTCAAATGCGTAATTTATGCGTGCATATAGCCCATTAAATCATAAAAATGTCCAATTAAAAAGAATTTAAAAAAAGAATATATTTAGTAAAATATATACAATAAAAATCAAATACATTTTAGCATTCTATTTAAAATGTTATTAATAATAAAATAAACACTTTTAATAATAAACATAATTGTTTTTGTTTTTTTATTTAAAGTGTGACTTAAAAAACTCCAGGTTTGCTGCACTGTGAAATTTGTAGTAATAATTAGTATTTAATAATCAAATAATTATTTAATAATACTAATTATTATTATTATACTTATTAGTAAATACAAATATTAAGAAATATTACTAATGCAATATTTCACTGTAAAATCAAGTATTTAATAGTAATAAAAAAATATGGCAACACTTTAGTTTAGGGTCCAATTCTCATTATTAACTAGCATGCATATTACTAGGATATTGACTGTTTATTAATATTAATAATAATAAATTTTATTTCTAATGCACTTTACATTTAAGGCAAACCTCAAAGTATTAATATTATTATTATTAAATTATATAGTGCTTATAAAGCACATATTAATGCCTTATTCTGCATGATCATATTCTACATCTCTAAATCCTCAATACCTAAACTGAACAAATAACTATTAATAAGCAGTAATTAGGAGTTTATTGAGGCAAAAGTCATTATTGGGTCAGAATTAGACGCTAATCTGACCAAAAATATAATAGTTTAGTTCTACTGTTGCATTAGTTAGCATTAGTTAATGCATAAAGTAACCATGAGCAAAACATTTGTTAATCTTTGTTAATAAAAATAAAGCTGTTCATCGTTTGTTCATGTCAGTGCATTAATTAATGTTAACAAGATTTTAATAATGTATTAGTAAATGTCAAAATTTAACATCAATTAAGATGTGCAGGTCATTTGTAGTTAATGTGAACTCATGATGTTAACTAATGAACCTTATTGTAAAGCGTTACTAATTTTACAGTACACAACATTCCTACTGTAGTTTCCTGTCATCACTGTGAAGCTGCTCTCAAACAGTCTATATTGGTAAAAGCGTTATATTTATGAATGTGACTTGACTGTGTGTTGGCTCAGATCGAGATGGCCCAGAAGCTGCTGAACTCTGACCTGGCTGAGCTGATCAGTAAGATGCGTCTGGCGCAACAGTATGTGTTGACCAGTCTACAGCAAGACTACAAGAAGCAGATGCTAACCGCGGCTCACGCGCTAGCCGTCGACGCCAAGAACCTGCTGGACGTCATCGACCAGGCGCGGCTGAAGATGCTGGCGCTCAACAGGCCGCTCTAGTTCCTCCACATGACCGGATCATCCGAGGAACACGGCTTTAAACCTTACGAGACTGAAGCTACAGAAACATTTTTACAGGAGAGGATTTGCAGAACATATTTTTGTTTTATAACCGTTAGAAGCGTCAAGTTCGTTTTATTTTGTATCCAGAAATGAAGTCGGTCTTACTCAAAACCTGCAACTGGAACTCTCCAATAATCCAAAGGCTTATCAACACACTGTTTTGCATAGAGAGCCTAAGCCCCTCCCCTTCCGGTCGACCATAGGACCACAACAAATACGAGAGACAACAAATATTGTGATCTCAGACGTCAGTCGAGGGCTCAGAAACTCAGGGCTTCGTGTGCAAAACTCACCGTGACTCTAAAGCCAAACCACAGTCGTATTTTTTTAATGAAACTGCTCAACTTAAGAAGGAAAACCAAGGCGCCCTGACGTGAGCGTAACACATCACGTCCGGGACAGAAGCCAATATATTAGTCACATATCAGTCACTTGAAGCACATTATGGTAAATTGATATAATCAAAGCTGCCTTCTGATTTCATTTCCAAGAACTTTTATTCTGTAAAATCATGTTATTTTTTACCACAGACACACTAGGGTTGAAGCGACCCCGTTGAGTTTGGACTTTTGTGTACAGAACAATCGTGAAATCCATGTTGTCATTGGTATAAATTATTCTCAGGAAGAAGCAACTGTACAGATCTTTTAACTAATAAAATGTTATCGATATCTTTAGCTGTAGGTGTCTTGGTCTCATCTCTGCTCGACTCGTATTCCTTTTCATTTCACTCTTTTGGCTGCATAATTAAAGTAACTGGTAATGATAGGGTTTTAAAATTATTCCATTATAGTTGAATTTTACTCTATGAAAATGAACAATTTGAGCCATGTTTGGAAAGGAAAACGATCGTCTGAAACCAAAACTCCTGGACGTGCTTTGGATAAAAGCATCTGATACAAAAGAAATATTAGGAAAAGAGGGCTTAGTTAAATACTTTAAATATATAGTTTAACAAAAAGAGCTTTTTAAAGAATTTAGATATTGAACAAAAATGTCTTTTTAAAGAATTTTTATATATATTTAACAAAAAATGTCTTATTAAAGAATTTGAATATATAGTAAAAATGGCTTTTTAAAGAATTTAAATATTTAACAAAAATGACTTTTTAAAGAATTTAAAAAATGTCTTTTTAAAGAATTTTAATATTTATTTAACAAAAAATGTCTTATTAAAGAATTTGAATATTAAAAATGGCTTTTTAAAGAAATTAAATATTTAACAAAAATGGCTTTTTAAATAATTTAAATATATATTTAACAAAATGGCTTTTTGAAGAATTTAAATATTTTTAAAAAATATGTGTTTTTGAAGAATTTTAATATATATTTAACAAAAAATGTCTTATTAAAGAATTAAAATATATATTAAAATGGCTTTTTAAAGAAATTAAATATTTAACAAAAATGGCTTTTTGAAGAATTTAAATATTTTAAAAAAATGTCTTTTTAAAGAATTTTAATATATATTTAACAAAAAATGTCTTAAAGAACTAAAACACATAATAAAATGGCTTTTTAAAGAATTTAAATATTTAACGAAAAATGGCTTTTAAATAATTTAAATATATATTTAACAAAAGATGGCTTTTTAAATAATTTTAATATTTAACAAAAAAATGTCTGATTATAGAATTTGAATACATATAAAAAGGGCTTTTTAAAGGATTTAAATGTATATTTAACAAAACAAAAAAAGCATATCATATGGACATGTTTAACACTATAACTAGTGTCTTGATTTCTGACCAGAAAGTAAATAGGACAGTAATGCGTTAACTTTTTGCACTTACTATTAGCATTTCTACTGTTTTAACTATAGGAGTGAATCTGACTTATCTAGTGAACATGTTAACCAGAACTAGACCCCAAACAACAGTGACAAACAGAATTTACAGTTTCAATTTTTTTTATTAAAAACTGCTTTAGTCGAAAAGACCGAAGCCCATGTCGTCATCAGACTCCTCAGACTCTTCTTTCTTCTCCTCTTTCTTCTCTTCCACCTTGGCTGTAATGCAAACAGAAGAGGGGTTGAGAGTGTGAATGAGATCATAATGCAGGTGTGAAGCGTCTGAATGCGTGTGTGTGTGTTACCTGGAGCGTCTCCTGCAGGAGCGGCAGCAACAGCAGCGGCAGGAGCGGCTCCTCCGCCGGCTCCAACATTACAGATCAGACTCCCGATGTCAACACTGGCCAGAGCCTGAACACACAACATCACACTTACACTCCGACACGTGCAGATGCACTAAAATAACACTGCTAAGGTCCTCTGTAGAGCTGACTTGACAACTGTAGGTGCAATGTTTCCCAAACATCCTCATTTAACCATTTCCATCTCTTAGATGGATCTTATAGATGCAATGGCTGAGAAATACACTCACCTTAGCGAAGAGACCAGGCCAGAAGGGCTCGATGTTCACACCGGCCGCCTTGATCAGGGCATTGAGCTTGTCCTCCTGAAACACAGATCAAGAACACATCAGCTCATGCTTTCATTTGGATGCAGTGCAATACTTCAATGATGTATCAGATGCTAACATGGCACTGTCAAAAAGAAAAACACAGTGGGAACATGTGATACAACGGCATTCTTCCTAAAGTAAGATGTAAGTACCATGATAAACATTTCATAATCAAAGTATATGGTCAACAGATGGTCATTATACCACTTACAATAGCAGTGTGATTAGCATGTACAAGAATATAAAGTGGTAATACTCTGTACTGTACAGTCACAATCGCACATTTTACGACTTAAAGAGTAAATCACTTAAGTTGTTCTGAATAATATCGTGTAAAAAGTGATTAATTTTAGAGAAGAAGCAGCGCGAGCGACAATTTTACCACAACGCGTTCAAACTGTTTTCACACACTATTTAGGTTCTAATATTAACACACTGAACATGTGCAGTAACAAACTAACCTATATACAAATGTAAATCTTTTAAAATCACTAATGAATGAGCGTCATTTGTACACAGATAGTGTCAAGAGTCCCGGATGTCCATGTCGCGCCGTCAGCGCGCGCTCAAACCCCTCACACTCACCGTTACGGTCACTTCATCATCATGGAGGATGAGAGCGGAGTAAATACAGGCGAGCTCGGATACAGATGCCATTGTTCTTTCAGCAGGTTAAGGTTTCAGACGTGGATGCCTAAATTTGACGGTGCTAGTCGCCGGATTCAAAGGCCTTAGCTTCGAGCGAAGAACCGAGCACCTCAAACACAGCGATGTCAGTGAACGGAAAGGGCCGTAAAGGGGCGGGGCGATGCTTTATATAGTAATAGCGTCACTTCAGTAGGCGGGACTAATGCAGTGAAGGGAGGATATGATTGGTCCGTTTATTCTGTCAGTTATATTTGACATCCGCGTGGTCTGATCCGCGTTATATTTATTAGATTTAACATTTAAACATAAAATAAAACATCCTACGTTTTTTTTATTTTTTATTTACATGATAAATGGTATTTATATTGTACTTCAAAGTTTTCCAGCTAGAAACATGGTAATACCATAGTACTTTTTTGTTAGTTTTTTTTTTTAATTTATTTGTTAATATTTATTAACACACATTTGGTTCAGTAATTGTAATAATAGGCAAGTTACTGCTCTGCACTTTCATCATGGACAAGTAACAAAAAAACTACACGCAAGAATAAAGGCAGTGGATGTCCTTTACAATGTCCATTACAATGGACATCACATGTCAGTCCCCTTTTTTTAACTTCTGGAGCATTTCACCTAGTTTAAAGCCTGCAGTCCATGAGATTGGACGTTTGTCATCCAATCAATTGCCAGTAAAGCTCTGCATGTAGTAATTATATATATATATATATATATATATATATATATATATATATCTCTACATTGAAGAGAAGCATGGCAGCACTTCACTCCAAACACAGAAGCAAGCAAGATTTTCTAAGGTGTATTTAAATTTTGTATATATTTTTGCCAGTATTTCATAGTTTGTGTGTAAAATAGAAAGATTGAACTTATTAATTAAAGTTAAAAATCGACTGTAAAGTTGCACGTTTTAAATCAGGATTTGTTTAAATGTGTCTGTCCATTAGAATGGACAGTAGGTATGAAAGCCTGTTACTGAAGTCACATTTTCAGTAATGCTAATTGGAATTTCTTTTATAATATATATATATATGTATATGTATGTATATATATATCACAGATACATTTTTTAAACTTTTTCATGTGCAGAATATACAGTTCTGAAGTGCTTGAACATATAGCTGATTAATATATATATGATGTTGACTTTATGTTGAGTAATGAGGAAGATGGAGATGTAAGAAAAATATCCATATTTGAAACTTTATAAAGTAAAATAACTTCTGGCCAAAAACATATGGATTTGCCTTAGATCTAAAGCGCAACTTAAAAATGAATATTTTAAATATTTTATATTAATATATATTTTTTATGGATAGATGCACTTTTATGATGGCTAGATGCACTTTTAATGGGGTTTCGGGTAGTATATTTGATACACATTTTAAGTAAAGTTCCTGTCGTGATAAAAACTATTTTACTGCACTCAGCAGGCCCCCCGGGGTCCGGGGCACCAAGCGCCATCCCAAAATTCCACCGTCCGCGAACCCACTATTTTTATAATGGCATAAATGCTACGTGGGATCTCAACATATCAGCTATGGAAGGGTCTAAAGCCTGCATTTTTGCACTCAGGTCTAAGTCTCATGGCCCTCTATCAGAATCCAGAGTTTCAAGAAGATCAGAGAAACTGAAAATTTCAACCCAAAAAAAAAACGAAAGGGGTACCACTGTCGTTTTTTTCGGGGCGTTTATGCCATTATAAATATATAAATATCTCAGCTCTGGAAGGGTCTAGAGCCTCCATTTTTGCACTCAAGTATAAGTCTTATGGCCCTCTATCAGAATCCAGAGTTTCAAGAAGATTGGAGAAACTTAATTTTCCGCCCCCCCAAAAAAACGTAAGGGGTAACACTGTCGTTTTTTTTTTCTTATCGAAATTTTGATTTTCGATATCTCAGCTCTGGAAGGGTCTAGAGCCTCCATTTTTGCACTCAGGTCTAAGTCTCATGGCCCTCTATCAGAATCCAGAGTTTTGAGAAGATTGGGGATACTTAATTTTTCGCCCAAAAAAAAAACGTAAGGGGTACCACTGTCGTTTTTTTTTCTGGTCGAAATTTTGAGTTTCGATATCTCAGCTCTGGAAGGGTCTAGAGCCTCCATTTTTGCACTCAGGTTTAAGTCTCATGGCCCTCTATCAGAATCCAGAGTTTTGAGAAGATTGGGGAAACTTAATTTTTCGCCCCCAAAAAAAAACGTAAGGGGTAACACTGTCGTTTTTTTTTTCGGGCGAAATTTTGAGTTTCGATATCTCAGCTCTGGAAGGGTCTAGAGCCTCCATTTTTGCACTCAGGTCTAAGTCTCATGGCCTCTATCAGAATCCAGAGTTTTGAGAAGATTGGAGAAACTTAATTTTTCGCCCAAAAAAAAAAACGTAAGGGGTACCACTGTCGTTTTTTTTTCGGGCCGAATTTTTGAGTTTCGATATCTCAGCTCTGGAAGGGGCTAGAGCCTCCATTTTTGCACTCAGGTCTAAGTCTCATGGCCCTCTATCAGAATCCAGAGTTTTGGGAAGATTGGAGAAACTTAATTTTTCGCCCAAAAAAAAAAACGTAAGGGGTACCACTGTCGTTTTTTTTTCGGGTCGAAATTTTGAGTTTCGATATCTCAGCTCTGGAAGGGGCTAGAGCCTCCATTTTTGCACTCAGGTCTAAGTCTCATGGCCCTCTATCAGAATCCAGAGTTTGGGAAGATTGGAGAAACTTAATTTTTCGCCCCAAAA